GTGATATAAGTATGAAAAAATTAAGATTATATGAGGAATAAAAGAAATAAAACTACAAATGGCCCGTTAATGCCCGCGATTCGGCTCCCATCGTTCGTTGTAAGGAGCCGTTCAAAAGACTCAGATCGTTCGCGAACGTCACTTCTCTACCTACCTGACCCTAAAACTAACCTAAACTCACTTCACACCTTGGTCCTAAACCCAACTCCCCCCACCCAAAATCAGCCTCTGAAGTCGTGGGCAAGGGTGTAATCACCATCTTTAAAGTGTGTGTGGGTGGGTGGGTGAGGGGAGACAGTGGGCACAGATATTGGAAGGGGGACATGTCCCACCCCGTACGTATGGTGGTTATGCACATGGTCGTGGGGACCAGGCTTTGCTCCCCACAAGGCTGCAATTTCCTGAAAAATTGTCCCCACTAAACAGTAAAAACAAGAGCGCACACACACAATGCACACACACTCACTTTTATCCACTTGAATAAAGAAAAATTAAAAATAAATTAAAAAATAAAAGTTGTTTCATTAAATCATAATCATTGACTTGATCTGCAGTTCTCTGCCTCGTTAACTCTGCCTCTTGCAGCAGCTTTATTTTTATAAATACAGCATATGTTGATTCTCCATATACTGTCATTAATATTTCTAGTTCCAGCACAGAGAAATGGACTTCCTGTCTTCTTGTTTTCTCCCATTGCCATGTTGAATCATGTTATCTGACTTCCACTGATGAGGGCTTCCTGCTCCAACTGAACTCGGGGTAACTTGACTCAGGATTGAGTTATCCAGTTGATATCAGCTGTTCTGAAACTGAAAATCCTGAGTATGACAGAGTAAGCTGACTCAGAGTATCTGCGTTAACCCAGGGTTTGTTAAGCTGCTGTATGAAACATGGCCCTGGTGTTACATCAGTCTCTTTGAACTGAAAACAAGCTTGTTGTGACACATTAATCCTGACGTTGTGTTGGTAAACGTCTTGTTTGAACTCTTCAAACAGCTCCCTCTGCTGGATGAATACAGCTTACACAACAATAAATACTTGGAGAACATGTATTGGTTCTATCAGGCCTCTCTTATAAAAGGATGAACAAAGATGACTTACTTCCTGTCAATCAAGCTGCAGCTCGTTAACAATGGCTCGTTAGCACATTTACAGCGAGCAGCTTTAAACAGCAAACCGATTCCACATCATTGATGACATTTTATTTGTGTTTTACAAAGTCTGAGTGTTCAGCTGCTAAAGTTCTTCTCTTGGTTTTGTAGAAAAGAAAACAAACATGTCGTAACGAGGCGGCAGCTTCCATGACTTRCATGATTTCAGTCCTGAAGCTGAGACTGTCCACAGGTCCAGTCAGCCGTCAGTCTGTCCATATGTCCTGAGAGACGCTGTCCCCCTGGGACTAATACTGACTGGTTCAACAGGCAGGACGTCCTCCTGGGACTGAGGGACAGACTGAGACAGACTGAGGGACACATGTCCACACAGACAGCAGCTGGTGAACACTGCAGATGAATCTGTCTCCTGAAGGACTGGCAGCAGAAACGTCTCTGAGACAAACGCTCCAACAGCTCTGATGTAGTTCCTGATCAAACAAACCTCCAAGTTTTAACAGCCAGTTTTAAACAGGAAAAACCACAACAGCTGACGTCTGAAGGACAGCTGGAGAAAACTGAGANACTGTGTCTCTCTATTCTTGTGGGGACTTTCCATTGACTTCCATTCTTTTTTTGTAATTTTATATCCTAACTCTTACCATTTACCCTAAAATGTTCAGAATTCAGTTTAGTAAACTCGTGATGTTTCAAAGATAAAAATTGAGCTTCAAATATTGCGAAACATCAGTTTCTCTTCAGAAAACAGTTTCCATCTTTTAATCAAAGTGTTATGGACTAATTATCTATCTGTTTCACCTTGACGCTGTCCAGTACTCATATATCTTATGATCAATGTCAATCTGCTTGCCCAGACGTCAGGACTCCGCAACAGACTGACCTCTCTTGTCTATGTAGGTAACTCTTTGGGCTACGAGCCCTGATATTGGCTGGGCAGTTACAGTTGGCGATCTGTGATTGGTCATAAGCACGTCATATGATGTTATCATGGTGTATATTATTGGCTGCTTTCCGCAGACGTGTCAGCCACAAGCTGACAGTTTCCTGATTGAGTTATGTTTGTTTGTCGCTCAGAATTAAATCATTATGACAACCATACACGCAGACTTTCTGTGCATTATTCCAACGTGTTTTTCTGCATTCTTGATAAACTTGCCACGACACAAAGCATCAAAGATCTGCACATCTGATCATGTGATTCATGTTTCCTCAACCAAATGTTGGTTATATTAAAGCCTCTATGGGTTTGCATGAGGACGCTGACTGATGTTTATCTGAATTCACTTTAAATATTATTTATCTGACAGGAAGTGGTTATGGCTTATTAGACTTAATCTAAATTTGTCAAAATTTCAACACTTTAATTTATCTGAAATCTCAGAGAGCTGAAGGTTTTCAGCACATGTAACTCTAAATTATTGAAATTGTAACGTTTTGTGTTTCCAAAGCTTCTACAAATTTTGTTGTTTCTCTCTGGTTTTCTCTTGTCCTTGTTTGTTGAAAAAAAAAAGCTGAAGAAATTTTTGTAACTGTGGTTTTAAACATTAAAAAAATAAGGAGTGGTAGTAGCTGAGAGTCATTCAGTCATTTAGCCTCATGGGGGCTAAAGACCTGAGACTGAAGATGTGAGACTGAAGACATGAGACTAAAGATGTGAGACTGAAGACCTGAGACTGAAGACCTGAGACTAAAGATGTGAGACTAAAGACCTGAGACTGAAGACCTGAGACTGAAGACCTGAGACTAAAAATGTGAGACTAAAGACCTGAGACTGAAGATGTGAGACTGAAGACCTGAGACTATAGGTGTGAAACTGAAGACCTGAGACTAAAGATGTGAGACTGAAGACCTGAGACTAAAGATGTGAGACTGAAGATGTGAGACTGAAGACCTGAGACTAAAGATGTGAGACTGAAGACCTGAGACTGAAGACCTGAGACTAAAGATGTGAGACTGAAGACCTGAGACTGAAGACCTGAGACTTTAAAATTAGGATTTTAGAATTAGGACTGTGGCTCTGGGCACATCAGTGTCATCTACAGTGCGCTGCACCCTTGCTCTTCAGTCTCCCTCAATTTATGATTCAAAGTGACCATCATCATCATCAACTGATGATGGTGGTCTTTCCATCAGGCCTGGGATCCAGAAAGCTTCTGTTCATCCAGATCTTGGATACCTTTTCTATCCAACCCTGATCTGTAACACCTGCCCAGACACATCAAGCTACTCATGTTCAGAAGCTCCTCACAGAGATGACTGAACAGTCAGAGCCCCACCCTCAAAGACCCCCAGAGCCCCATTAGTCTGCAGTTCCTTCTCCCTGTGGTCCCTGTGGGTCAAATTCTAGAGGTGGTCCCTGAGGTGGTCTCTGGACCTTCTGGTTCCTTGTCCAGTTTTTAATAGTAAATTGTTGACAACAGGAAGTATTAGAAAATCAATAACTGTTTAAATGGTTATTCTTTTTACCCAGTTTAGTACAGAAACAACAGACCTGTCTTGTTTTTAATGGTTAGTTTGTAGGAAACAGATCAGCTCAGAGCTGCATGAGGAAACAACTTTATCTAAACCATCATCTTCATCACTGAAGTCTAAAATAACACAGTTTCCATCTTTTAATCAAAACATCAAAGTTCTGCAGCTCTGATCAAGTGACTCATCTTTCCTGAACCAAACGTTGGTTTTAGAGCTGCTGCTTTAAATGTTTTATTACATGTTTAAAAAATGACACATTTCTGTATTTATTTAACTTCAGGTTTAACTCAAATCAAACAGTTAAAGTCTAGATTTAAAGCCTCCATGAGGAGGCTGATATTTATCGGAATTAATTTTAAACATTAAACTGACAGGAAGTGGGCGTGGCTTATTTACAGCTAATCTAAACTCATGGAGAAATACACATTATAATTCGTGGGGGGTGGGGGACACACAATGATTTTGTGTGTTGAAGCAGTGAATGATGTAATTTATTTGTTAAAGGTTGAACATAAGAGCTTATACCTGACCTTACCTGATTTTACTCTTTTTATATTTAACCTTTATTTGCAGCCATGTCTGTTTAGTACTGGCTAGGTTCACCTACTCACACAAAGTACACACACACACACACACATACTATGTCTCTCTATTCTTGTGGGGACAGTCCATTGACTTCCATTACATTTCTACAGCCTAACCCTGAACACAAACCCTAAGGCTAACCTCACAGGTACCTGTAGAGATGGGATAAATGGSTCTTTGAAGGGATCTGGATCTTGGGGAGCCGTTTGTTTCATAGAGCCGTTCAAAAGAGCCGTTCAATTTTGAACNGATTAAATGCAACAAAATAAATTCAATAATGGGTGAGTATTCTTCATCATTCAAAGAAGGTACATTTTTGCTTATTTGTGTGCATTTAAATATAATCATGTACATTTTAATTACCCGATGTTTGTACTTCAAAAAATGGATCTAATGTATAAAACTGCCAATATCTAAGTCAAAAAAATATGTGAGCCATCACAGTGAAATGAGGATCAAGTCCAAAAGTGTAATGTGGAGAAATAGACTGACCTCAATCTCGGTGGAACATGCACTCAACTCTCTACCATCTGCTACCACTGGTCTGTCTCCCTGTTACACTGTTTATGGCTTTCAACCTCCTGTATTCTCCATCCAGGAGAGGTCTGCCAAAGTACCCTCAGCCCATGCTGCTGCTCTCAGGTGTCGTCGCACATTGTTTAGAGCCAGAAGGGCTCACCTTAAGATGTCCACCACATATTCTCGCACTGCCAACCGTAGACTGTCTACTCAACCAGACTACCAGGTTGGTCAGAGAGTTTGGCTCTCCATCAAGGACCTTCCTCTTAAGGTGGAGAGTCGTAAGCTGGCACCTAGATTCATCGGCCCATTTCCTATCTCTAAGATAATTAACCCAGTAGCAGTCCACCTTCAGCTCCCCAGAAACATGAAGATCCACCCCACATTTCATGTCTCCCGACTCAAGCCCCATATCCAATCCCGGATTTGCCAAGGTCCTCTAACCAGCTCCAGAAGGTTAGTATTCAATATCTACAACCAAAGCAAATCCGTTGTAGTGAACAGTCTCTCATCTTTGTTCTCCTCCTCAGTGTGCACCAGCCTGAGACCCTGGCATCCCACCAGCTTCCTGTTTTTTAATAAAACATTTAAACCTGCTCAATGTTTGGCTGTTCTGAATCCTAAACACAAAACTTGTCACAGACGTGACAATGGATGAGGAGAGACTTATCGTAGAAGTTGAGAATTATGCTATGTTATATGACACCAGTCATCCTTTTTATAGACTCTATTAGGAAGGACTATGCATTGTCAGAAATTAAACACCTTTTCATGATACAGTATTTAACAAGTTATTAATATTTGTGTAGCCTATGTATTGATATGTAAGTTTTTATTATTACAACAAGAAGCCCTGTTATTCAGTAATTATAAAAGTAACAAAAATTTTTTATTCCATATAGTAAAAAGTTTGTTTTTTTCCATGCAAATTAACTTTCTTCTCCACTGTGGGGGAAATGCAAATCACAGAGGCCCACTGCTGTTCTTATTCAAATTGATCGGTGGAGACAGGTTTTAACTACCAAAGGTGTGAAATTCCCTGAATTCTAAGACTTAAGGCAATTGTACCAGTTTTTTAAAATAAAAACCTGAAATAAAATTTATAAAAACAGGAGGAAAGGTATAAATTTTTATTTACAAAAACAAGACATGCAAACACTCTGTATTTGTTCACATTATTTACACAGCATCACTTGTCCAACTCAGTGATTTTTTTTCACTACACCATCCTGTCCTGCCACTCCACACTGCCTTGAGGGGAGTGAAAAGAGCTCCCTGATGTTACAGGCCTCTCTTGATATACGGTTTGCTCCCATGCGCCTCGCTGGCACCATTTGTCTGTCATGATGCTGAGCATTATCCAGCATTTGCTGAATTTCTGATGGTGAAAGGAAAAAGTTGTGCAAAATGCAGGCAGCTACAACAACAGTGTCAACATTTTTAGGATGCAAGTTTATTCTGCAGTAAAAAAATAATTTCCATCTAGAGGCCAAAATGCCAAAGGCATTTTCAACTACCATTCATGCTCTTGACAGCCGGTAGATGAAGATTTTTTTTTTCTGTGGGTTAGATTGTGGCCTGGGTATGGCCTCATCAAATATGGCTTCAGAGGGAAAGCAGCATCACCCACCATCACATAGGGCACATTAACTGCTGCATCAGCACCAGGGAGAGGGGCATTGGGAGGCACATTAATGCTACGTTCACACCGAACGCGTTTTAAGCTGCAGGAGTGGCCGGTTTACATGCAAAGTCTATGGTGGACGCGCCTCTAGGGGTCGTGCGTCGCATCAAGTACGCTTTGGGCAGCGCGCAAGGAAGGCGGAAGGAGCACAGAGCACTTTCCGCGCATGCTGTGTTGCGGAAGCAGCCACCGCCCGAGTTCAAATATCTGAACTTATCGTCGCTCGATGCGTCTTCCGCTGAAAACCGAAACAGACGGACTGGAGATCTTTACCTGAAATCCACCGTGTGCAGTTGGATTTCTGGCAGGATATATCAGCACCGATGTGGATCAGCTGCTCGGGACAAAAAAAAAAAACAGTCTGTCAGCTGGCAGCTTCTGGAGTGACGAAACTAAATGAACAAATCGCCTCTAAATCATCTGGGGTCTCATTTATAAAGAATTGCATGGAAACCACACTAAAAGTGAATGTACGGCCAAAAGGCAGAAATGGAGTACGCCAAAAAAAATTCAGATTTATAAAACCGTACGTACGCACGTTTCTGCGCATCTTTCCTTTATAAATCACAGCCACATGTCAGAGTTTGTGCTCAAGGTCCCGCTTTAGGTTCTACCCTCTACACGCCCACACTCAACCATAAACAGTCAATHTAAAGTACCTCATGAATGTTAAGATGTATTTAAATCTGTCAGCTGATCAATTATTGGTTTAGACACGCTCTGTCTGCATCTGGAGGTTGACAGGTGCTGACAGCTGCTCACGTGAACAGAATGTCTGTAATTGACACAGATTTTCCCCCATTTTGCTTTAGAGTAATCTAACGATTTTTACTTTAAAAAATACTCAGCTTCAAATTAATTTTCCATCAGAGCCTGCAGGACGATAAAACAATAAAAATTAAATTAAATAAGTCAGATAAAATTAGAAATAAGTCCACCGCTCTTCTCCTCATCCTCTCCCCCTCCTGCCTGCTCTGTTATCTGCGGCAAACACCTCTGCCCTGCGCGCGCGCATACACATATGGGGCGCCCTGTAGAAACCTGTCTAATTTACAGACAATCTGTACAACTTGACACAAAGCCACGACTACAAAAACCAACAATAATACACAAACGCAGAACAATATGATGCTGTACCTCATANAGCTGAGACTGTCCACAGGTCCAGTCAGCCGTCAGTCTGTCCACATGTCCTGAGAGACGCTGTCCCCCTGGGACTAATACTGACTGGTTCAACAGGCAGGACGTCCTCCTGGGACTGAGGGACAGACTGAGACAGACTGAGGGACACATGTCCACACAGACAGCAACTGGTTAACGCTGCAGATGAATCTGTCTCCTGAAGGTCTGGCAGCAGAAACGTCTCTGAGACAAATGCTCCAACAGCTCTGATGTAGTTCCTGATCAAACAAACCTCCAAGTTTTATAAAAATATAATCTAAATTCATCAGAAGAGTTCATGGAGCGTGGCTCCGCCTCCAGCTGCTGCTCACAGCTCAGAATAAATTAAATCAAATGATTGAGTCATCGTCCAATCACATCAGATCAATGATCACAGAAGATTAAATAAATAAAATCAGGACGGGTCCATCTCCTGACCCCACCAACAGATCATCAGAGATCAGACTAAAAACAGGAAGCTGTCGAGTCCTGAGAACCTTAAAACTGGACCGTCTTACAACACTGTGATGTCTGACTGATGGAACCAAGTCCTCAGGTCAGGTTCAAACTAACTCTTCAAATTAGGTTTGAACTAACTCCTCAGGTCAAGTTCAAACTAACTCCTCAGGTCAGGTTCAAACTAACTGCTCAGGTCAGGTTTAAATTAGCTCCCCAGGTCAGGTTAAAATTAACTCCTCAGGTCAGGTTCAAGTTAACTCTTCTGGTAAAGTTAAAACTAACTTCTCAGGTCAGGTTCAAATTAACTCTTTTGGTTAAGTTCAAATTAACTTATCAGATCAGGTTCAATCTAACTCCTCTAGTCAGGTTCAAATTAACTCTTCAGGTCAGGTTCTAACTAACTGCTCAGGTCAGTTTTTAACTAACTCTTCGGGTCAGGTTCAAATTAACTCCTCTGGTCAGGTTCTATCTCTTCAGGTCAGGTTCAAACTTACTCCTCAGGTCAGGTTCAAACTAACTCTTCAGGTCAGGTGCAAACTTACTCCTCAGGTCAGGTTCAAACTAACTCTTCAGGTCAGGTTCAAACTAAATCCTCAGGTCAGGTTTAAACTAACTCCTCAGGTCAGGTTCAAACTAACTCCTCAGGTCAGGTTCAAACTAACTCCTCAGGTCAGGTTCAAACTAACTCCTCAGGTCAGGTTCAAACTAGATCCTCAGGTCAGGTTCAAACTAACTCCTCAGGTCAGGTTCAAACTA